GTTTTTTGGTCAAGTATATATGATACATTTGCCAAGTTCTCATCTTCATTTGTTTTTGGTCATGTTGGCAGATATATTTTAAGACAGTGAAATACTGAGAGCACTATGCAACATGTCGTTATCTGAGCTACAATAAAAATAACCATGTGTCTTGGTTGATGAATAATTACAAGGATTCTCTATTTCTTGGATTTTTTTTTCTTTGTATCCACTGCTAATAATCTGGTAAATGCCATACCTCCTCATACATGCAAGGTAAGAAATTTTACCATTGCAAAGATTCAACATTGACCATCTGGTTATTTATTCTGTTTAGTATAGTTTCTATTTCCAAACCTAGTACTAAATTATGCAAAAATCTTTAAATTATAAAAATGATTCCAGGCCAAAGGTGCTAAATTTCATCTCAAAGGATCTTAAGGGAGACCCAATCATTTCTATGAACATTTGAAGTATTCACAGATGTGCCAGGTACATTTGAGAAAGTCCACAGATTTTATAAATTCAAAGGGACTCATGATCCCTCAGATGATTCTGCTTTTAAATATGACATATTTAATTCAGATCTTAGCAAATAAAATAAAATTTCTGGAATATTTGTAAATTAATGTTATTATGTTCAACCAGATCTTGACTAGATCATTAATAAAAGCTTTCTTATTCTGAGCTCCCTGGTCTAAAGAAAGTCAGTTCAGTTGTAAACTAAGTATCAAAACTTAAGAATAGCTTAATATCTGCGTCCTTAACAATTTCATATCACCTGAACAAATTTACTAATGAATTCCTGTAGAACACATCAAATTAAATCCTGTCTATGTAATTCACAAAGGTGGTGACTGTTCATGCAAAATTAAAACTGAATCATCATTTAGTTTTATCCATAGAAAAATCAAGATGAGAAAGGGCGCTATAATGTATCTATAGAAAAAAGGTTTTCCACAGAAATTTACAAGTTTAAAAACTGCATTTAAGATTTCTGTAAGAAAGAGATTTTCAAAGATTTAAATCTTGGATTAAAACTGACCTCTTAAATTAAAACATGAAATATAATAATTTGACTCAAATTTATGAAATTTGAAAATTATATTATTTTAAATTTGTAAGTGTATACAACATGTTTAGTTTTTGTTTTAAGCTTTAGATTTTCTCTCTCTCTCTCTTTTTTTGTACTGGGGATTGAACTCGGGTCCTTGTGCTTGCGAGGCAGGCACCAAAACACTGAGCTAAATCCCCAGCCCCTAGATTTTCTCTTGAGACACTCAAGGATCCTACCTTTTCAAAATGTGGGCTATATGCTAAATCTGGGCTAAGCACCCACTGTATATGAACAGTGCCTACTTTTCAAATGGACTAACACACATTCCTTATTACACAATTCTATATAAATATGCATTTAAAGCAAAAGGCATTCTATGCTATGAATGCAGAATACACAAGTTTCTGCTTTACGCATTTACTTATGAACCCACAATTCTCCAATATATATTCACAGACCATATCTTAACTCCATGCAAGCACTTGTCAGATGCAATGTATGAAAAAGTACAGAAATTAACAGTGTCAGGTGCATTGATAAGCCTTCAAGGATTTTTTTCTCCCATAGCAGCAGTAGAAAAGGAGTAGAGAACTTACATATGAAGGTGGAAGTTTAAAGACTTTTCTGAAGGAAACTTCTCAGACTGTGTTAAGTCCATTAGAAACTCCAATTTAAATGAAAGAATACTGACCAATAGTAAAGTAAAAATAAAATAAAATGAAATGTTCAAGTCATCCTAGCAGACAGATCTGGTTTTGCAAATGATCTCACAATATTCCTTTGTATGTTGGGGGATATTTTGAAATAGCCTTTAGTAGCTAGTGATTGTGCATGGTGAAAATGTTTAAAGCCTCAGAAGCCCTGTGTAGTCTTGTAAATATTGGGTGCATGCAATTTCTGTTTTGGAGAAGAGGGAGGAAAAAGTATTACTCTCATTAAGCAGATCAGGATCAGAATAAAGGGTCAGCCCCCTTACCACTGCCTACTAAGGAGAAATCCTGAAACTCCTCTGGAAAGGAAGGAGAGCTCTTGGTAAATACCAAGGCCAGTGCTATTGGGAAGAGTTTATAATCAGCAGGTTAAGGCCTTTCCCTGAAAAAAAGGAAAATGGGAATAAGAGGACATTTTTTTAAATAGAGAAACTTATTTCTAGCATAATTTTTAAAGAGATTGAGTAAGTGCTTCCATTATGGAAAACATTTGGGGACCAATGTACATTTTAAACTACTTAAATTACAGTGACTTAGGATTTATTTATCCTGTAGGATAGGATAAAAACTTTAATCCTAAACATTAACCATTACATTAAATGGTTTAAAGGAAACTTGCTTTGAGCTCCGCTCATCCATGAAAGGATTATACAATCTTAGTGCCCTTGCTATATAGCTAATGTTTATTATTATTGTATTTTAAGCCTCTCATTGAAGACAGGTCTCTTGGATTTACACTGGAATTTAACCTTTTCTCTTTCTATCATATTACAACAGAGCTTATTTTTGAGGCAGGAACCTAGAAAGTTGAAGTTATGCACGAAAGCCCTAACTATCTGATGGCAGAAAATATAATGATACTCTGGATACCACTACCATTTACAATAGGGATCCTAACAATAACTCTAGAGATAGGACTCCTAAATGCAGTTTTGAAGAACCATCACAGAAAAAGACAAAAACCACAACACAGAATCAATGGTTTATAAAATTATTCAGGTGTCCACATTTCATGGATAATTTTTGTTCTTTATCTATTCTTTTCATTTGGGCAGAAGATGGAAGCAGTGAGTGAGTAGCAGTAAGGCAGCCCATAGCTAGCTGAAGAATGACTTGCAATGAATGAAAGAGGCAATGGGAGTATCTGAACATAATCTCAAAGCACTGAAACTGCTAAAAAGCCTCTATGATGCTTTATCAATTCAGGAATGAAGCTCATGTGAGTGATATTCCATATATCAAATATCTCTCTGTGTGTGCCTGAGTAATATATATGCATATTTGCATATATCTATATGGCACACACATTTATTTAGGGAAAAAAGCCTGGAAATTAATTTGGAACTCAAATGACATGGTTACACATAGATCATAATTTCTAAACACAATGTTAGTAAAACAAAATTTATTTGTAAAACAGGACCTGTTATATAAAATGGCACACAATCAAGTTATACAAAAATACAAAATTTCTTTCTGATTACAGTTCTAGTTGCAAATGATAATTAGAAAGCATTCCTGGTGGCTTCCAAATATCTGAGATTGCGAGCACATGAAACGGGGCAGCAAGAATCCATGATGCGAGGATGTCCAAGTGAGTAAAACCTAATTTCCAAGTTCAAGATTTCCATCAGGTCACGTTGGAGGAACACCTCCTAAAATAGCTAGCTCCTGGAATGTCTTCTCTTTGGACACCCATCTTCCAGACTTTTGCCAATTCTAATTTAGTTCCCAATGTTTCTGAAAGTCCAAAATCTGTGTGGCTATGAAACAATAGTATTCTGAATTTTCTTACATGATTTGCTCTCTCAACTATTTGGATAATCGTTAGTTACATAATTATATTTATTTCATTTCAAATAATATAAAAGAGTACAGTGACATTGGAGACACTACATGTTAGATGTTAACTTCTGGAGAATTATTATTTCATAATAATAAAGTTGGTTTCCAGATCTTGCTAAGACATGAACTCTTAATTGTATGCGTGTGTGTGTGTGTGTGTGTGTGTGTGTGTGTGAATCCAGACTCTTATTGCAAATATTCTGGAAAATCAGAAATATTACATGAGCTTTGAAAAGAAACCAAGGCATTTAGCAAATTTTAGCCTAGCTAAAGAACACCAATACTTAAAAAAAAAATACAGTTTACCTTTTGCAGCAATTTAAAGGTCCAACCCTTTGAAAGGAAGCATATTAGCAAACAGCTGCTTATTAAGCCCTAGTGACATTAATTGTATGCATTCCCATAATACCAGTCTAATTCACTGTCCAATTCTGGTTGGAGGCAATGCTTTCTTTCAAAAGATTCTCCTTCCATGGAATGATAAAATGTGGAGGCTTTTTTGTCTTTTTTCTTTTTTGTACAGAGCCTGTATTTAGTGCAATAAGTTTAAAAAATTTGCTCTGAAATATTTACTTTACATTAACAAAAATAGCTTTTTTTTTAAAAAAATTGTAACAAAAAGGAGTTATCGCATAAACAGATCATGAATTATTCTTAGCAAATTACACTTTTTTTTCTTAAAGCATTCACCATTACAATAAGCGGAACAATGGAATATTAGCCATTCATATCTGGTAAGCTTCAGGAATAAAAAAACAAAATAACAAAAATCCTCAAACCCACCCCCAAACATAAAGAACATTCACACTTGAGGATTAAAACATTAACCAATTCTTCAGTTAAACACTGTAGAACACTGGATAGTCAATAAATTGCCAAAGAGAGGAGCACCTTCCAGTGTATTTTCAGATGTTATAGCAAGCATTTGAATACAACGGCTGTTTAACCCTAAGCCACCGAAGTTCTTCTGAAGCAGAAACCCAAGCACTGGAATTTTCAGTGCTCTATGCTCCACATTTTTGTCCCTTTAAAATTCCTCCTAATATTACTTAATCTACAAATCAACACACAGAAACTTAAAGGCTAAACTTGCTGGGAGCCCCAGCTTCCTTTCAAATCAGGCACACAAATGTGTGGAGGATGCTACTAAAGTCAAAAAGAAAGACAAATGTAAGAAAAAGTTTGCATAAGAAAGATTATCTACCCTTTTCTTTTTTTCCAACTTTCTTTTATAGAAGCATTAGGGTAAACTACATATACCTGAGGAGTTGGTTACTTTTTAATGTTGGCTGATAAATGTATGAGCTACTAAGAAAATTCCCAGGTTGGCCCACTTGCATGTTTTTAAAAGTAAAATGACATGGCTTTTGATTGGGGGAGACTGATTGGAGTAATGCCTTATTTATCTGAAAGCACATGCCTAGTTTTGATGTGCTAGGACTTAGGCATCAGTAAAATAAGATCATGATTTTATACACACATCAGGGGAATTATCCCTGAATAAATTTTAGACAAGAATTTGGTACAACAATTTTATCTAATTTAAGTAACTAAAGTTAAAATCTCCTCTAAGTTATTAAAAATGTTAATCAGATATGAATCTAACATTTCCACTAAGACAATTACAATTGAAAACATTAAATGACAGAAGTTGCCTTGTAAAAGCCACCCGTATGAAAGGAGTACATGTTTGACAAAAATAAGCATAAAAAAGGTATTAAATCCCTGTTCCTTTTTTGATTTTGGCTGATTATGTGTGTGTGTGTGTATACATATACATATATATATACATATATATATATATATATACACACACATACATATACATATATACACACACCCACACACACAAATACATAGTTATGTGTATATATTGTTTTGGAATGTCAATGGGTTCCATAACCGTCGGCTAGGTTCAAGCAGAACTTGCTCCCGAAGCCTAGAAAACAAAGTCATACAGAGTATAATCTTAGACAATTACCATAAAAAGGAAATTATGAATGATGATACAAATATACACATGGTCACAAACAGCAACAGGGGAAAATGGATTGGAACTCCTCCTCTGGGCCTATATTACTGGGGCCAAAATTCCTGGGAGTACTGGAAGTCACATTTTCTTCAAGATCATCTGTGAGACATACATAGTCTCCTTCTCTGAACCATATCCCCACAGAGTCCAAGTTTTCCCCTCTTTCCCCCTTGTAAGTCCTTTTCCGTATGATAGCAAGAAAACCATCAGATTTCCCTAAACAGCATAAAATTTTTCTAAAATTACTTTCAAAGAACTAGAGAAAGAATCAATCTTTCAACTTTCCTTTTCTTTACCTGTAAGGTTCTCTTAAGAAAAAGTCCAAGAAGAAAACCTGCAGTTCTCCTATTAGTTCAAAGATCCCCCATCAAAAGAAAAATTTTAAACCTCATTTTTGTGAGCATGATTTTATAGGCTAAAAATAAATTCTAAATTAAAATATTCCATTAAGACAGACAGCAGCAGTATTTCTAGACATATTGCAAAACAGGCATGATGCTCTGTTACAGAACTTTCACCTAAGAGAATAACACAAGCAAATATAAATAAGCAATTCTAAATTTTACTAATCCCCAAACTTTAGGGGAAATTCCTCAGATAAATCTATCTGACACAGAGGATAGCAATAGCAGGGTAAATTCTGATCATGCAAACTTTGAAAGAGAGAGAAGGTAAAATATTAGGTGTTTAAAAAGTAAAGCTGTTGTGTAAAATACTTCACACTGCTCTTTTGGGGATTTTTTTTTTTTAAACATTTAAATTATTCTTAGGGACCAAATGCTATAATGTCCAAAGCACCAGAAAAACTATGCACATAAAATATGTATTTTGGTATACAGCAAATAATTTTTGACATTTATCAGTAAGCAAGAAAATGGCGAACATAAAACGCAAGCAAAAACAGAATGAAGATTTTAATGCATTGTTGTTGGAAAGGGACACTAGATTAAAACTGAAATACTATTTAGAAAAACTTCCTAAAATGTTTGGCTTTTGGCAGAATGCCATATAACCAAGACAATTTTTTATAATTATAGCTTATATAAATTAGGGGTGCAGGTAAGAAAGGAATACTTGTATCCTGCTCTACCACAACTTGTCTACAATTTACTGAAGAGTGATATAGAAACATGCCAGTCCATGGGCAAATGAGCAAGTTTTCCACTTCTCCTTTCTTTGAATACTTATTACTTAATGAGTCAGTGGATGTTTCAATCCCTGGAAAGATAGAAAAGGTGGGGAAGACAAGTTTATATTTTAAGATTTTAGGTAAGGTATATCCCCTAAAGTGTTAGGCTTGGGATCTTTATTTCTTCAATAATGAGGACAGCCAAGCATTAGAAGAAAGCCTTCCTCATTTCTCCAAGTCCCATAAGGTTGGCAGCTCTGCCACTGTGGTCTTAGAGCAATATATGCTGCAGACATCTGTTATGCTGCAATGAAAATAACTAGAGGAAAACAACTCAGGATTCTCTTACACTGATCAAGTTAGTCTTTTCAAATGAAAGAATGAATTAACATTAATAAATTAATATGTAAAAATTCTCAGAGAAATTTTTCCTTTTCATAAGTAAGCTGGGAATACACTAGATAGATGGTCTTACTGAGGGGGAATGTGGGTGTTGACTGAAAATGCCATGTGACTGCTACAAAAAAATAGCTTAAGAAACAAAGTACAATCTAGGCAACAGAAGAAAGTCACCAAAGGGGAAAAGACAGCAATGTAAACAGAACAATATTTTTAAAAAGGAAGAATATGAACTTAGCAAGCTGAAAGGAATTGCTATTATCATCTTCCAAAATGACAAAAATCAAATGTTCAGTCAGATGAAGATTAAACACTGACAGATTAAAAAAAAAAAAAGTGGGAAACAGCAGTTTTACCATAGAGACGAAACTATTATCCCCTAGTTCCCTGTGCCTAGAAGTTCCCTGATGCTATTCCTTTCAGCTTACTTTTACAGAAGGTGGTCTCAGCTGTGACAAGAATTCTGCCATCCAAGTGATGGGTAAGCACACAAACAGAAAGAGCAGCATGTCCTGAGTGATACAGATAACAAAAGCTTCTCCAGAAGAAGTGTAGTCGGTGAAAACAGAGAGAGAGAGGAAGTGAAAGTGAAATTCTTGGAGGTCTGCTGCCTCCTCATCTGCACCTACCATCGGCTTTAGTTCTCTGGCATCAGCAACGCCTCCCTTACCAGCTTCTTTCATTGCTTTCCTACTGTTTTCCACAAATTCCTGCAAAATATGAACCATACAGCATAAGTTCTTAAGCCTTTTCAGATTTCAGCTGACAGATGAATTCTAAGGAACATTCACTCATGTATTCATTCGGAGGTACTAGGGATTGAACCCCAGGGCCTTCACACTGAGCTCCATCCCCAACCCTTTTTATTTTAAAATTTCATTTTTAAATTTTAACACAGGATCTCACTGAGTTGTTAAGTTGTCCAGGCTGGGCTCAGAGAATCTGAAGCTCTTTTGCCTCAGGAGGACTATCATTTCCAAAGTGATGGGATTATACATGTGAGCCACCAGGCCCAATTTACGTTTACATTTGACTCAATCTCTGCAAATGAATGATCAAAAAGCACTGTGGTAAATGATATTTAGTATCATATATAAGAATTGTTAAATTTGTGGTAGTGACTAGTTCTCTGATGTAAAATCTTCTTTCCATCCATTCATTGTGACAATGTCACTAAGGGTCCAAGAGATAATGCTAATTTTGTCCAGAAGAAAAAATGTCCAATGTTTTAAAAAGATTATTTACCCATACTTAGAATATTATTTTAGGGCCGGGGATTTAGTTCAGCAATTCGGTGGCCTGCCTTGCAAGCGCAAGGACCCGAGTTCAATCCCTGGTACCAAAAATAAAAAAGAATATTATTTTATTTTTCCATATCAAATTTAAATAAAACAAGAACAATTCATTTCAAAACTCTAAAGACCCGAAGGTAAAAGCATTAATATTGCTAAACATGAATATTTTTTGCTTTTTAAAACCAAACCATAAATAAACTATTTTAAAAATGTCTGTCTGGTCTTGACAGAGATCAGGAAGACAGGAGTATTAAAAGGAACTTGTGCTTAGAAGGAGTTAAAGTGGACTATGCCCCAAAGGAAACATTTCTATTCTATCAAAGATGATGAAGCACTTCATTAAATATCCTCATTCTTACAGAGAAAACTAAAAGTGGAAAACTATTGTTTATCCTGCTTTTGATCAGTGGCTTAAAAACAAAATCAAACCCATCTTCCAAATTTTTAGATCACAAGAGATGAAATGCTCACAGATCAAATACCATTATTAAAATAACCAGAGTATTAGTTCAGAATTATGAAAATGTCCAAAATGTATATAATATAGCTCACGATGCTGTCAGATTCTGGAAGAGGTAATGAGTACCAAAGAGGTCAGCTAGATCATCTGGAGTTTTTACTATTAAAAAAGTCTAGCTTATTTATTAATACAATTTTTAGATTTAGCTGAAAAATCATTCTAAAATGATATATCATCTCAAAGTATATTTATTATTCTCAAGATTAATGTCCATTAATAGATTAATATCTATTTTGAAAGTAGGAATATTTCACTGCTTAATAACAAAGAATCATTATTAAAAAGCATTTGTAATTTGGTATCATTTAACCTTGATGCAAATAGTACTTAAACAATTTTAATGTAGTTTTAAAGTTGTTTAAAATTTAAATTAAGGTTTATGGCTGTAAAAGCCATAACATTCAAATCTTGACTAATATAAAAATATAAAACAAGCTACCACCAGTCATGAGTCTGTTATCTATAGTCACTATAAAGTGCTTTCAACTTGGCATGGCATATTTATGATGAATTTTAGAGTTGACAGCAATAACATTTGGAAAGGTAGTGGACAGAAAAGCAGGTAGGCACTAGGATCTGCGAAGACTTTTTGTCTTTAATCATCATTTCAGGAAAAGGCACTTAGAACATCTGTGGTTTAGTGTTCCAATTCAAGGGTTAGAAAGCATTTTTAAATGTTCATTTAAGCTGGGCATGGTGGTGCATGCTTGTAATCCCAGCACTCTAAGAGGCCGAGGAAGGAGATTTGTAGATTTGAGCCCTATCTGGACAACCTTCCAAGAATGTCTCAGAGCAATAAATGAATGAATGAATGGGATGGGGATATATAGCTTAGTGCAACAGCCCTGTGTTTCATTCCCAGCACCACACACATACACACATACCAATGGATTTTTTTTTTTTTTTTTTGGTACTGGGGATCAAACTCAGGTCCTTGTGCTTGTGAAGCAGGCGGCAGAAAAACTGAGCTAAATCCCCAGCCGCACCAATGGATTTTTAAAAGTGTATTAAAATTAGTGTAGCTGCACAGAGAGGGGCAGCAAAGTGGAAAAGTGTGTATCTGAGACAACTAATGAGTACTGCTCCACCTAGGTGGATTTGTAATGGTACACGTTTCAAGAGGACCTTCTTCACTGATTTCTCCAAGATTAACTTCATTCAGGAGTAAGTGCTACTGGTTTAATTCTGAATTACTGTTGCATACGATGAGAAATTAAACATAGAAAGAGTTTAGCAAAATATTATTAATATTTTTATCCTTCATGTAGTAAAGGGCATTTGAAATACTTACCATTAGCACTTTATCCATATAGAACTCTCTGCCAGGGCTCCCATCATTGTACTTTGTATCAATGGCAAAACATAAGAATAATACATCCACTACCATTTCGTAAATGGACAGGAAGCAATGAGCGACTAGGAAAGCAAAGAGGCAGACGATGATCAGAGGCAGCACCCATACTGTGTAATCCTGCTGGTAGTTGAGCAGCATAATCCCAGCCAAACCTGTGCTGCAGACTATCAGCACCTAAAGCAGAGAAAGCAAAGATCATGTTTAATATTCTATTATTAAAAACCCCACGATTTCTTTGTCACTTGCTGACTTAAAATTCTCTTCACTATTTATAAATGATGGCTGTAAGTGGTCACTGCATTTCAAATGAAGACATAATCCTTATGTACCCATGTACAAACAGTTGTATCTTATACAATACAAACTACAAAATTGTACTTTATGATTCTGGTTTACATTGAAAATAATCAAGTTTTCCAAATGTATTACCATTCCTGAAAACTTCACATATTTAGACTTTGTGGTAATTTTAAGGTAAAATTATGTATATTTGAGCAAAAAATTACAAGTACCCTTAGCACTCAGAAAAACATTATTAATACTGGTATTGGTGTGTGGTGTTTGAAGCATGATAGTTCACAGCTTTAAACTCTCTGAAAGGGATACAAAAACAAATCCATGTTAAAATAATAAAACAGAAATGTTTATTGTTAAAGATCATCAGCTGTGATGCTTTATCATCTCCTATGTAGCACTTTAAATTTTTTGTGGTTTTTAGTTTTTCAAAATTCTTATTAGTAAATGTTTGTAGTCCACAATGATTACATTCATAGTGAGCAGTTGATACATGTATGTAACACATCTTAAGTCTTTTTTCTTCCCTTTACCCTTTTCCTTTCCTCAATCTCTTCATCACCTTCCCTTTTGCAAAAAGATATCTTCCCAAATATTTTATTTCAGCTTCTCAAATATCCTATAAATGGCTTGTGGAAAACATTATCAACTCCATTTCATAGATGAGGAAACATGCTCAGAGATCCTAGCCAACCTACCCAAGGTCATACATAGTAGAGAGAAGAACAGTTTCCACTTAAGTTATGGTCTTACTATGCCAATCCCAGTACACTTTCTAGGTAAAAACTCAGCATACACCTGTACATTGACACAGAACAAAAATGGATTTTCCTGAATCCTAGGTACACTATTCCACTGTCCTTTACTAAGCCTAGGAATAGGATCTAAATAAAGGAAAAGAAAGACTATAATAATAGCCACATTTTTCTTATTTAGTGCTAAGGATAATCAGTCTTTTGCACATTCCCCACTATTTATCAACATCAAAAGTAGTTCTCATTAGTTATAATGCACTAGACAATACATTGGTTAAGCTATAAATTGATTCCTCTCCCAGGTACTTCTGCTGAACAAATGTGAGTATTCCCAAGCTTTAGAAGGCTCCCTGCACCATTTTTGTGACAGTATAGTAATGAATGAATCATCTCTTATAGTGGCTTATTTTCTGGGGTGATTTCCACAGATGGTTAATTATCCCCATTTTCTTTCTTTTTTTTAAGAGTAGGAAAAATTTATTGAGGAAGACAGCTTCTGTCTAAGAGACAGAAGGGGAACTGGAAAGTGGGTTCCCTGGGGACCCTGTTTCCTAGGGGATTTTTATGGAGCAAAGCCATGAGGTATGGCAGGTTTAAGGTGGCACAACACTATAGTCAATTAGTAAAATTACAAGTACAGTCACTTAGGTAATATTGATCCAATGGGGAATCACAAGGTGGGATAAAATTATGATCAACCAATAAGATTACAAGTATAGTCATTTAGGTAATATTGATTAAATGAGGATCAAATGAGAAAGCAAGTCTTTCCTTGTAGCAAGCACACAAGGTCTCCATTTTCTTTCATTCCTGTGGTCTCAATTTACAATGTTATTTCTTATAACTGTCTTCAAATTTTATACATTTACTCCATGGTAGAGCTGGAGTTCTGTATGCTCTCACCATGTCACTAAAAATTAAATCATATTTAAAATGTTAAAATTCAATTATAGGAATGAGGTACAGTCCAAACAAAGTAGATATTTAGACAAAAAGCTGTTAAGAGGGCCGGAGATTTGGCTCAGTGGCTCTGCTGTGCCTTCCTTGCAAGTGTAAGAGCCAGAATTCGATCCCTGGTACCCGCCCCAAAAGTTGTTAAGATGGAAGGCTGGCTATTACATCATATGAGAAACAACCTAAAGAACTAGTGATGGTTAGTTAAAAAAAAAAAATCAAAGAAATATAATAATTACTTCCAAATATAACAGAAGGGTGTCTAACAGGGGCTACATTAATGGTTCTCAAACTATAGGGAGGCAGGGAATGCCAGATTGGCTCCAAACTGAAGCACAGCAACAACACTTTAGAAATATTTTACATACTAAAAATATCCATAGCCTACATTTTAAGCACCGATCTGGATTAAAAAAAAAAATCTCTGTAGTGGGATACACATGCCTTTTTACAGACAGAGTGCCCAAGCTGCAACCCAAAACCCACTTACTTATTGCAAAGTGCCAACCCTGCAATTAAACCTGAATACTGAGGTTTTAGTTTAGAAAACAAAACAAACATAAAAAGAAAACTGATGCTTGACTACTAGTGCAACTTGTCTTGCTTGCTGACAGAAGGATGTGTGTGCCTGCTGCAGCATGTGTACCATAGGTTCACCACCACTGCCCTAGGGAGTATTCAATGGGATGTCCTGGGATTTCTATTTATATTTTGTGTGCATTTAAAAATTTCTGTTTTTAGTTTTATAATGCAGAGATTAGTAAAAGCTTTACATATATTATTATTTTAAAAAATTTTTTTCCATTAAGTTTATTGGTACAGTTTAGATGTACAATATGATGACATTTATCATTGGGAATTTGCACCTTTACAAGATATATTTTGGTTCTTATTTTTACTTCATTTCCCTGCCCTCCCTTCAACTCCTCCCTATTTACATAGACTTTGTTTTCATTTTTTCGTTTTCTCCTATTTTTTCCCTTTCCCTATTCCTCCCACTTCCTCCTCCCCTTTAGACCTTTTCCTGTTTCACATTATCTATTATACATTTTGATTCTTATTTATACTTTCAGTTTCTCACACGAGAGAAACTATTCAGTATTTACACGTCTGTTGCTGAAATCAGGGAGAAGACAAGATTGTCCACTTTCACCACTCCTGTTCAATACAGTTTTGGAAACATTAGCTAGAGCAATCAGATGAGAAAGAAATAAAAGGGATAAAGATAGGAAAGGAAGAAGTTAAACTGTTATTATTTGCTGATGACATGATACTCTACTTAGAAGACTCCAAAAATTGTGAAAAACCGTCTAGACTTAATTGACAGATTCAGTAGAGTAGCTGGATGCAAGATCAACACTCAAAAATCAATAGCCTTCTTGTACACAAATAACAGACTCACTGAGAGAAAAATTAGGCAAATAATTCCTTTCACAATAGCATCCAAAAGAATGAGATTATCTAGGAATCAATCTAAAGAAGGAAGTAAAAGTACCCTACCTTGAAAACTACAGCACTCTGAAAAAAGAGAGTGAAGAGGATATCAGAAAATGGAAAGACATCCCTTGCTCCTGGGTAGGAAGAACCAATATAGTTAAAATTGCCATGCTTCCCAAACTGCTATATAGATTTGGTGCAATCCTGATTGAAATCCCAACAGTATATTTCACAGAACTAGAGAAAACAATCCAAAAATTCATTGGGAACCAGAAGAGACCTAGAATAGCAAAAGCAATTCTAGGCAACAAAGACATGTCAGAAGGTATCACAATCCCCAACTTGAAACTATACTACAAAGCTACTGTGATATAAATAGCAATGGTATTGGCAAACAAACAGACCCGAGGATCAGTGAAATAGATTAGAAGATGCAGAACACCTCCAGACATACTCAGCTACTTTATCTTTCACAAAGGAGCCACCAACCCTCACTGGAGGAAAAATAGCCACTTTAATAAATGGTGCTGGAAAAACAATTTCAACCTGTCACAGATGAAAACTAGACCCCTTTCACCATGCACTCAACTAAAATTGAAGTGGACCAAAGATCTAAATATTAAAACAGAAACACTAAACTTGCTGGAAGATAGGTTAGGTAGAACTCTTGAAGACATTGGCATAACAGAAGACTTTATGAACAAAACTTCAGTAGCACAGGAACTAGCACAGAGAATCAACAACTCGGACCTCATCCTATTAAAAAGCTCCTGCACTGAAAGAGAAACAGTCAACAGAGCTAAAAGACAACCTACAATGTGAGAAAAAATTTTTACCAGCTGTTCCTCAAAGTTCTACTATCTAGAATATATAAGGAACTAAAAAAAAAATCAGACCCCCCCCCCAAATTTAGAGACCCAATCCAACAGTGGGCATCTGAAATGAATGGGTATTTCTCAGACAAAAAAAAAAAGCAGCAAATAAACACGAAAAAATGTTCAACATCACTGGTCATTCGAGAGATGCAGATGAAAACAACACTGAGATTTTACCTCACCCCAGGAAGAATGGCTGCTAATTAGAAATCAACCGAGAACAAATGCTGGTGGGCTTGTGGGGAGAAAGGAGCCCTTCTCTATCATTGGTGGGAGTGCAGATTGGTGCACTCACTACGTAAATCAATATGGTGGTCTCTCAAAAAACTAGGATAAGAGGTCCTATTTTACCCAGCTATTCCCCTGCTGGGTATCTTCCCAAAAGAATTAAAAGAATCATACCACAGTGATATATGTACACCCATGTTCATAGCGGCACCGTCTGTTATAGTTAAAACTTGGAAACAGCCCAATTGTCCATCAACTGGAAACTGGATAAAGAAATTGTGTGTGTGTGTGTGTGTGTGTGTGTGTGTGTGTGTGTGTGTTAATAAAATGGGGAACTATTCAGCCACAAAGAATGAGAAACTAGAGTCATTTATAGTTTAATGCAGTCAAGCCACACTCAAGTGAAATAAATAGGACAGACATGCACATATATTATTAACATATAAAGAAACATTGGGGAACTGAGTTCAAAGTTTATACTATTCTAACAGAATCCATGATTTTAAAAGTTTAGATGCTTCTGTTCTGGAGGATAAATTAATGAGTATATAGTAGAAGAAATGCAAATACAGAGCAGGATGTGCAGAAAGGAAAAGAAGCTAGTTTGGGGATCAGAAAGATGAAGACTTGA